AAGTCCATGCTATAAAATGGAGTGGTTTTTGTATATAACCTATGCACATGCTCCCATATAATTTAAATAATCTCTATATTATAACACTTAATGCAACGTAAATACTATGCAATAGTTATTGTACTGTATTGTTTAGGAAATCACAAGAAAAAACTGCACATGTTCAGTACAGATGCAGTTTTCTTTTTCTTTCTTTCTTTTTTTTTGAATATTTTCAATTCGAGTTTGGTTGAATCTGCGGATGCAGAACGTATGGATACAGAAGGCTGACTATAGTACACTTTTTCCTATCGCTTTTTTGAATGCCCTTACCACTGTGCATTATGTTTATGTTTATCACATAATCCACTTGACCTTCATACATGTGTGTATGTGGAATCGTTTTTAATTGTCTTTTTCTATTATCTGTCTCTCCTCACTAGAATATTAAGTTTTATTAGGGCAGAGACTTTTCTTTTTTTCATGTTATATTCCCAGTGCCTGATATGTACAGATGATCAATAAATACCTACTGAATGTATGCCTTCCACTAACCATGAACACCAGCAAAATAAAACATTGCCAATTAGAAGTGGAAAGATGGCTAGTCTGAACACAAGGCTCATCTTAATAGAACATTTACTTGCAAATTCATGAATTCTTAATTAATAATAGACAAGATCTGCTTCCAGTAAAGGTATATCTCTGCCAACTTGGATGGGTGGAACTCATTTCTAATTACTATGTTGATTTTGTATATGCAAATGTGCTTTTAAAAGCCCTGGCAATCTTTCTCCGAACTTGATTTACCCAGTCTCCTACAATTTGGTGGTATCTATAGTTTGATTAGTAAGCCTTTTATTGTTATGGTTGAAGTGTTCTCAAAGCACTTAAAATGTAAATTTCAGCTCATTTCAGGTCAAATATTCTGAAATTCTGAGTTTGGAAAAGCCAGAATACATAAGTTTTACAGCCTGTATTTTTCTTGGATTTTTTAATATAATAGGACATAGTTATTTTAAATGTAAGCATTTATGACTTGACGCCATTAATCTATTCATAATTTCAAAAGCAGTGATAAAATTTGAATTCAAACTGTCTAAGATATATATGTCTGTCTGTCTTTCTTTTGGCCATATTGAAATTTCCCTGAGAGCAGGGACTGTGGTACTTAGCCTAGTACCTTCCATAGTGCATATTAATACATTTTAAAAATTCACTTAACAAAATTTATTGAGCATCTACTGTGTGCCCAGAACTGAGATATGACATGAAGATAAAAATATAAATAAAACAAATAAATAGGAGTATGCATTTATTAAATATAAATGAATAATGCTCAGAAATAGCTTTGCCTAATTTTATGTAAAATATATCTCTCCATATTATACTTAGCATATAATCCCACAAGTCATAGTTTAATCTCTGATGGAAAAAGTTAAATTTATTTCTGAATACATTTTGTATAACAATTTTTAATGTTTTTTAAGAAATAACTTTCCTTTAAATGGGTAAAACTGTCTGCTGAAGAAAAACGAGGCTCAATACAATTTCAAGGGCAATAAAAAAAAAAGTCCTTTTTAGTTTGAACCTGAAATAAAATTCATATAGAATAATGAATTTCATAGAACCTCTATAGGAACAAGGTAGAGCTCGGCATCGTTAGACGGGAATGTCACAGGAATTAGATCTAACACCGTCAATCAAGCTGTCAGGCAGGTCCATGGCCCTACCAGGACTGGCCGTATGCTGTGCAGGTCCTCGGTGTTATGCTCCTCCAGCTCAAGTGAGAACAGGTCAAACACACTGCTGTCCATCATCAACTACTCAGAACAAAGTGCAGGGCTCAGAAGACCCATAATCAGAAGTTATCATTCAACTTTTAATGTCCAAATGATAATAAATTCATCCAAGAACCAAAGGAATGCCCAAAATTTTAAAAGCAGGTTAGACTCAAAATAGGATACAAAATACAATATCAAAAATAAGGTCTCTGGAATCTAGCAGAGCACTTAAGTGCAAACTCAAATGTTTTTCACTTGCTACAATTGATGCCAATGGAAGCAGGCAGGGTGGAGCATTTAAATGCACAGATGGCTCCAAATCCACACTGTTTTCTTTCCTACCCCACAACTTGATCTTCGTAATTAGTTGTGACGAAGCTAATAGTAAATTAGTTTGTAGTCTCCAACAGCAAGGGGAAGTAGAAACTACACTTAAATTTTACCAAAGATAATATGTGTATAATTCCTATATAAGACTTTGAGGTTCCATGGGGAAAATATTCACAAACCACACATCCAGTAAGGGGATAATATTCAGAATTTATAAACAACTCAAAGAAATTAGCAAGGAAAAAAACATTAAAAGGTGGGCAAAAGACACGAACAGAAGTTTTTCAAAAGAAGATAGACAAATGGCCAAAAAATATGAAAAAATGCCCAACATACTAATCAACAGGGAAATGCAAATTAAAACCAGAATGAGATATCACCTTACTAATGTTAGAATGGCTTTTATTAAAAAGTCCAAAAACAATAGATGCTGGTGTGGATGCATAGAGAAAGGAACACTTAAACACTGTTGGTGGGACTGCAAATTATTACAACCCCTATGGAAAACAGTGGGTATCTATCCATGGGAAAAGAAGTCATTTTATAAAAAAGACACGTACACTGAAATGTTTATTGCAGCACAACTCACAATTGCAAAGATCTAGAATCAAGCCAAGTGCCCATCAATTCATGAATGAACAAAATGTGGTATATGTATATCGTGGAATACTACTGGCCATAAGAAAGGATGAATTAATGCCTTTGGTGCCAATTTGGAAAGAATTGGAGACCATTATCCTAAGTGAAGTTATCTTAAAAATGGAAAAACAAACATCACATATACTCTCTGACAAATTGGAACTAATTTATTAGAACTAATGGGCACAAGAGTGCACAGACGGAAGTAAAAGTCATTGGAAATCAAGCAGGGGTGAGGGAGGTGAGGGTCAAAAACCCACCGAACAGGTACAATGAACACTATTTGGGTGATGGGCACATTTATAGCCCTGACTCAAGCCATGTAACAAGAACATTTGTACCCCCTTAATATTTTGAAATAATAATAATAAAAAGACTTTGAGATTCTTTCTCTGAATTCTTTTCTCCATACATTAATTGATGTATCACCTAGCACAGTGCCCTGCACAGGTGTTCAAAACACAACTGGCAAATGAATAATTCATTTTTAGAAAATTAAGATGTGATGTTCATGTATTAAAAGAAATTAGAGTATTTTTAATCTTCTGATAGACGAGAATTCTAGATTTTTCTAAGGATTTTACTTTTTGAACTAACATACTAACCTTTGCATGCTAATTTGGTAATATAATACTAGCTGCCCTAACAAACATATCTCCACATTCTAATGGAGTAACACAATAAACATTTCTTTCTTTTTCAGGCAATGTCTAATGCAGACTTTCTTAGTGGTGGGCAGAATCCCTCTGCGCGGTAATTGAGGGGCGCAGGCGTTTCTCCCCGTGTTCTGTTGCCTGCGCTTTCAGACGCCCCTGCGTCCGGACACAGGGCGGGGCGCAGGCTGGGGACCGCAGCTGCTGCTCAGCCGCCTTTGCCCCTGGCGACCCCGCCTCGGCCGCCCAGCCCGCTGACCAGAGCGGGCCACCACGGACCCGCTGGGATGAAAGCCAGAGCAGGCTGGCAAATGGAAGCCCTAGCTGAGCGAATGATATGAAGGAAGGGGACACATCATTTTTTTGGTGACAGAAAGTTGCCTTTTGTCAAATTTCTTTCTTCCTTTACTTTTTCTTGATAAGCAGTGGACATCGTCGAAGTCAGCATCTGGCAATCGAAGTAACTCTTTGAAGGTGTAAATTCCAAATGGAAGGTTATCTTGTATGCAAGTGGAAATACAATCCAGGACTGCTTGGGCAGTTTAACAGGATCAAACAAATAAATAAAAATAAAAAATAAAGGAGTGGCAGTAGCAGGTATTAATAGTAGGAGGTCTGGCAGAATATTTGAATAAAAAAGACGCGTACTGCAGTAGGCCAGGTGTGTGAACCGAGTCTCTAGCTAAGATGCTGCCGTCTAGTTTTCCTTAGAGTCGGGTCCAATTGCATGTAAGAAACTTCCGTGCTGCAACAGCGATGGAATCGTCCACGTGCATTACAAGTTTCTAATGATAATAAGATGTGTCGTAAAGTGATTGTGATTCATACCTTTTTTCCCCACACATGCCTCAGCTGGGAGGGGTCCTGGACTTGTAGCGGACTAAAGGGTGTGCCCGAAAGGTGTGCCTGTGTCCCGTCTGCACGGTAGAGCGTTTCTCCGGCGCTGACATCTCGAGCCTTCTGATCTTGGCTCAGAGAGGTTCGCCCTATGCCTGGTGAGAAGTTTAATCCAAATAACGGGGGGAACTTCGTCTTTCTGCAGCCTGTGGGAGAGAACGAGCATCCCTGGACGCGGTCTCCCGTCTTTGCTGAAGCAGGCCCGGACGCCCGCAGCTCTTGGCACCCTCCGCGGCTGTGCGCCACCTGGCCGGGCCCGACGTCCCAGATCTGCCTCAGCAGCTAGCTCGGCCTGTGCTCAGGAGGGTTCCAACAAGCCCTTCCGAGCAGACGAGGGCGGCATCTCAGAGCTCCTAATTTTGTGTCCTCTGACAATTCTACCGGAATCTAAGCTTAATTGAGGGCAAGGATCATTTTCAAATACATCGCCTCCTCCCACCGTCCTCCCCAAATCACCCACCACGGCGTCTGGCACATAAATAAAAGGAACGCAATACATATTTATTGAAGGAATTGGCTGCCTAATGACCACCCACTCTCCTGGGGCTGTACACGGGGCGCCAGATCCCGGGCGCTGGCAGGCGCCGCGCGTGGCATGCGGCGTGTCGCATGTGGCGCGCACCCGCCTTGCCGCTCCGCGGGGCGGCCTCGGCGCCCCTGTCTTTCCAGGCCGCGCTCCCCAAGTCACGCGCCAGCACAATGAGTCTGTTACGATAACTTATTTTTCAGGTCTAACGTTTAATTTAATCCCTGTCCCCAAAACACTTCTCCTGGCTCCATCTCCCAGCTCCCTAGCCCGTTTATTAGGCCTTTTATTGGGGCCATGGTCCAATTCAGGAAATAGGAAAAACCTGACACTGAAGGAATTTGGAAATGAACAGGAAGGACGGAGGGTGAGAAATTTATTCAGCTTTCTTCAAAATTCCTAAAGAAGCTCCAACCGCCTTGGGAGTGCTTGAGGGCTGAGGCCGGTGGGGAGAGGGGCTGTGTGGAGGGGACCCTCCGGTGGGGAGACTCGCTTCTCGGATTCTGTGGCGCGGCAGGCGGGTGGAAAGGGACAGCGCCTTCCTGCGGGAGGGACAAGTGTGGGGTCGCTCGGGCTCCAAGGCCCTGCAGGCACTGGGGCACCGAGTGGGCGCTGAGTGACGGGAAGGAGCAGGAAAGGAAGTGTGGTGTCACCTGTCCCCACCACTGGCTGCGTGCGTGTGTGTCAACCCTCTCCCGTGTTTCTCCGCCTCCCCGTTCCTCCTCCGAGTCCTGCAGCGCTGCGCTGCCCCGTGACTCCGAGTCGCCCGGGGTCGCCGGGTCTCCGTCTCCATCCTGCTCGGAGCCCGGCTCCTGCGTCTCGCAGCGCCCCGCACTCTCGGCCGCGGCCCGGTCCTCCGAAGGCGTGCGTGCTTGGGGGACAGTAGGGGCCACCACGCCAGCACTGAAGCTCCGTTAGTAAAAACAGCCGTGCACCCATCACCGCCGGGGCCCGCCCGCCCCAGGCGCACCGTCGGTGCGTCGCCGCGCGGCGACCCTCCCGGACAGCTGCGGCAGCGACAGCAGCTGCGCCGCGGCGCGGACCTCCCCGCGCTCTCCCTTCCCCGCCCGGGGTCGCCCCGGTCCCCACCCCACCCCACCCCGCCGCCTCCTCTCGTGTCGCCCTCTCGCGGGCCGCGCGCTCGCCGGGGACGGCTCCGCGCTACTCACTCGGCGGCTCGGCCCCGCCGCCCGGGCGCGGCGGCCAAGAGGCGCGGGGTGCGCGGGTGCGGGACCGGAGGCTCGATGGGGGCGGCGTGGCAGAGCCCGCCCCCTCCCAGCCGCGACCCCCGCCCGCTCTCCTCCCCTAACCCGCCTGCCGGCGACCGCGACACCTGGCAGGCTGGCGGCGGGCGGCGGCGGGGCCCGGCGGGAGAGCGCGGCGCGGGCGGGGCGGAGCCCCCCCCGGCGCTGAGCGACGCGCGCGCGCAACATGCGAGCGCGCGGCCCGCACGCGGCGGCGCCGGGCGCCGCGGGAGGCGGCGGCGCGGCGGCGGCGGCGCGCGGCGGGCCGGGGAAGGGGCGGGCGGGGCGCGCGCGGGGCGCAGGGCTGGTCGTGCGGACTGTCTGCCGGTGTCCGCGGCGGCGAGCGAGCGGCGCGGGGGCGCGGCGCGGCGCGGACGTCTCGGCGGCGGCGCTCGGCGTGGGGCGGCAGCGGCGGCGGCGCGCGTCTCGCTGCGGGGACGCCGAGTGCGGCTGGCGGCGCTGACAGCGGCGGCCTTGCCTCTCCCGCCTCGCCCCCGGCCCTCCCCATGTGATCGGTCTTAATCCCGGCCGAGAGCGCGCGCGGGGCTCCATTCCGCGGCGCCGGTCTGCGAGCCGGTGGGTGCTCCAGCGCCTCTCGCGTCCCTCCCCCGGAGCGCAGAGGACCGGGAGGCGTGCTCAGGCATCGATCGGGGACCCACGCGCGGCGGACGCGGGGCGCGGCGGACGCGGGCGAGCGGCAACTTTGAGCCGGCGCGGAGCGCAGAGCCCACCGCGGGCGCAGCGGCAGCGGCGGCTCGAGCGTTGGCCCGCCGTGCGGTCGGGTGTGCAGTCGGACGGACGCGCAGCGCCTCGCTGACCCCGGCGGCTGGAGATGTCCGAGCCCAAGGCACTTGATCCCAAGTTGTCGACGACCGACAGGGTGGTGAAAGGTAAGCGGGCGCCCGCGGGTGCCCCGAGTGCCGCAGGCGCCGCCGCCTCCCCTCCCCCGCCTGGGTCTCCGCGCCCGGCCGCGGACCTTCTAGGATGTCGTGCAACCCGCGACCCTCCCCCGCCCCCGCGCCCCGCCTGGCCCCACTCGGGACATTTTGGCGGACGGGGGCGTCAGTTGGCCAAGGGCTGAGCCGGGGGTAGGCGGCGGGGGCGGCGGCGGGGGCGGGAGGGGCGCTGGGGTGGCTGCTGGCAGGGTGTAGCTGCTGTGACAGAAATAGGAAGTGGGTGGCTGCTCGCAGGTTTGCATGGGATCGGGTTTATGGTTTTCTTTTGCAGAGGGAGGGGTGAGTTATGGCTTTTAAAAAATTAACATGGCATTTTTATGCGGCCGTGGCTTTCCAGCGCCCGCTGGCTCGCGGGGCTCGCGGGCGCTCCATTGCAGCAGTTCCGTGCGCGCCCCCCCTCCCCGGGAAGGCCTGCACCGGGCTCGCGAGAGCGCGGGAGAGCGTGGGGGGGCCGCTTCCTTCCGCGCGGGGCGGGGGCGGCGCGGCTGCGGGGCGCGGGGGGCGGGGAGCACCCGCGGGCCCGCCGCGCCGGGATTCCCCCGCAGGCCCGGGGGAGTCGTGGAGGCCGTTCTCCCGCCCCCTCGCCACCCCGCCCGGCCGCCGTCGCTCCCGGAGGGCTCCCCGCTCGTGCACACCTCCCGAGGGTAGCCTCGCCTCGCGGTCCTCCCTGCCCCGCACCCCTTTGGTAACGGGCTGCTGGCTCCTAGTGTCGCCTTTCCTCCCCGCCCGGGACCGTGGCCGCTGGCCGGGGTGGCTCTGGGGTGCTGGCAAAGAGAAGCAGGGCTGTGATGAGGAAGGCGCAGGTAGTGGTCGCGGGTCCCCACTGCACATGGACCCCAGGTGGAGGGGGAGGAACCGTCCGGCGAATCCTGGAAGGATGAGGCCACAGGGCAGATCCGCCAGGCTGGAGTAGTGTCTCTTATTCCCGGGGTCAGGACAGCCGGCAGAGCAGGGATGGGCACGGGCCATGCGCGGTGCTGGCCTCTGGAATTGCAAACAGCACTGGCTGGTGTAGACAGGGAAGTGTGTCTGTCTGTCTGTCCGTCTCTGGAACAGAGCTGGTATCTGACGCGGCCAGAGCGTGCAGCTAGAGTGCAAGCAGTGAAGTCATTTGCACCGTGCACACTTAGGTGAAGTCACCCAGCACCCTATAGAGACTCTGGACATAAGTTCCTCTGGGCTTTCAGAAATAATCTTTGCTCCTTTTAGTTTTTCTAAGGAATTTTTATGTGTGCGTGGTGGTGGTGGTAGGGGAAATTGTGTTCTTTTTTGAGAAAGAACAAAATATCTACTTTTGTTTTGATTATATTGGAATCATTCCTGCTTCAGTGCAAGATTCAGAGACCCATGAAAATAACGAGGAAATAGCTCTGCAAAAGTGATTTGAATTAGGATTACAGATAGATGCACAACTATTTAATTTTTCCTGCAACTATGGCTTCTCATGTAGTCAATTCAAATTCATTAATAGAGCTATCTATGTTTGACATTTTCATATGTTGACATTTTCAAAAATTAAGACCTTTTGGGGAAATATCCGAGAATGACAAATATCTCCCTAGTATGTTAAGCTTAGGTGTAGCTCCAATCTGTAGGTTAATACAACCCATTTTCAAAACAACATAAAGATTGTAATTCAAGTGATACCATTAAATGTTTTAGCAATAAAAAAACACACTCCTGTGCACACACACAGTCACATTCCCTGCTTTAAATCACAAAATGTATATTCTTAATGTAAGTGTAAGGTTGTCATCTGGTGAACAATGTTAAAATAATTGTTCATCCATTCTTGCTTTGTGTCTTTTCCAGTTAATACGGAAGAGTCCTTCTTCAGTCATTCCATAGTTATTTTGCCTTGCTTTTTCCTAATGCTATTATTATTATAAATGACTTTTTAATTTTAAGTACATACACCCAGCCATCATTCCAAAAATTTAATTTACATACTTTTGCAGAACTGAAATGCAAATGTGGGCAATAGACTCAAAATAGAAAAATAAATGTTGCATTTGTTTTGATAGGGATCTGGATGTCAACTGTTAAATGTGAAATTGTGATTATAGAAAAAGTTTTGTTGGTGAATCCTGATTTTAAGGTGGGCCCACTGCTACTATTTCTCTTATGTTTCCTTGTAGACTTTAGCTTGTTGGCTCGAAAGGCATCATCCAAAGTTGTGTTCGACATTTTGTCATACTTAAGATTTTTATGATTAGTTATTTGAGATGATAATCTATTTTGATTATCAGTTCTTCTATGAAATAGCATTTCCCCTTGAATATGTATATACTGTTCATATGTTTAGTGAGCAAAAAGTCCATATATGCTGAGTGGAAAACCAATTATCAAATGATTTTTCATGTTTACACAAATTAGATAATACAATACAAAACCATGACTTTGAATTTTGATACAGCTTCCTCTCAGTGGCCATTCTTTAACTCATTCTTTAACACAGAGAAGAGTTTATCTTTGAGGAAATATTTGTGCTCCTTAATATTCAGATCATTATTACCATGTCATGCCATGCCATTTGTTTATAGATATCTTCATGAGTGTGATCTGGCTTTTGTTGTATAACAAATTGCTGTTTACAAATAAAGTTGTGTTTCTGGTTTTGTTTGTAGTAGTATGATGATGTGACCATTTTTTATGCATTATTAAAAATTTTTATAGATTTGGGGGTACAAGTACAATTTTTTTTTCTACATAGATATAGTGCTTAGTTGTGAAGTCTGGGCTTATAGTGTAACCATTACGTGAATAGTGTACATTGTATCCTTTAAGTAATTTTTCAGCCCTCACTCCCCTAACGCCCTCCCATCCTCTTGCCCTTCTGAGTCTGCAGCGTCTGTGGTCCTGCTCTGTGCATGTGGCCACTTTCTTAATCAGACTTCCTTAATGCAACTTTAGAGAGGTAGGTTGAGTTGAATTTGTCTTAATTAACTGTCGTTTTTTAGGTTTGTAGCAGCAGTCCCCAACCTTCTTGGCACCAGTGACCTGTTTCATGGAAGATAGTTTTCCAGGGATGGGAGGGCGGAAGGGTGGGGGAGGGTGCTGTGGGTGGGTGGACCAGTACTGGGCCGTAGCCCTGCCCAGGGTGAGGACCACGGCGCTAGAGTGTGTTCAGAGATCCCGATCAGGTTTCCAAACCTTAAAAATGAAAGGAAGTGATGGCAATGGAGTTGAAAGCATTCGTTTACATTACTTCCGAAAAAAAGGTTACTTCAGTTAGCAAAACTGGTGTGGCTTCATTTTGACTATTCTTGAATTAATAAAACAATGGAAAGTATAAGAATGTGGGCATTACCGTGATGCTTAGCAGAGCAAACATTTTGGTAATGCCATTTGCTGGGAATCAGAATAATTTGATCCATTTATTGTTTTATGTTGTATTTTTTAAAGAAATGCTACGTAGCTCTAAGGCAAAAGACTCGGGGCAATAACTAGAAGAATCGCAGGCTTCCTCCCACCCACCAACACACCCTGTAGCCTGCATTTCGCTGCAGTGCTGCTCTCTCTGCAAGCCTGTTCCAACTGCGCCTTCTCTTCATTTCTCCCCGCCTGTTTCTGCCTGGAATGCTTTTATCTGGCCCAAACATTCCCTCCTGGCCATAGAATTTTGCTACATGATAGTGAAAAATATAATACTCGGGGGAAATTAAACTGTATGTGATTCCGAGTGTGTGGCTTTGTTATATCTCTTGACCTTTTCTCTTTTCCCATCTCTGAGTATTTGGTGGTGGGCTTTTATCTAAACCGAAACCAAAACAGTAGAGATTTTGGGTACCATGGCAGGCTGTTGAGGTGTAAGTTCCTGGGAAGAGTTCTAGGGACTCTCCCCAAAACTCTAGGTGGTGCACTGTTGTGCTTCGTGTACTGTTGCTTTTGGCCGTGGGGCATGAGCTGTTTTTCCTTGTGTTTTGGCAGCTTATACACTCTTTGAGTAGACCAAGTATGCATACGAAAATTCTGGAAAGATAGCTAAGACGGTAAATGCAAGAAGATGCTAATTAAAGAAATCATCGTTAGGTAAATAAGGATTCAAGCCACCAGTATTCCTAGCTGAGTGAGGTCAGCAATACTACTTAAAAAGAAAACCAAAATATACTATATTGGTAATAACTGTCATGTTCAGATTTTAAAATACAGTAGTAAATAATGCCATTTCTTTGTGGTTTGCCAGGAAGAACTCATTGTAAATTTATTTTACCGACATTTTGTTACCATCAGTTGAGTTGCTCCATATATCTGGTTTTCCGTGTGAGTATAGTGCAACCTCATTAGTTCAGTATCATTAATTTAACTTTGTTATGATTAAACGTTGGTGTTTGGTGGCTGAAGTTAAATCAGCACTGTATATGAAGAAAGGGGTCCCCTCACCTAATTAATATTACAACAACATAGTTCCAGCATGGTTAATATGCTTAAGAGAACAAATTCTTTTCAGGACTAGTGAACAGCATGCAAATTCATGCTGTTAATCAAACATTTGCTTAATGTATTCATTAATATTTCCATTCAGGTGTTCTATAAAGTAAATATAACACAAGTGCATTGTTTTTAAAACATTCTGTAAATTTAAAGCTTAAGGCAACAATTGAGACTATGACTTGGGAATCCCAGTGATTCTAAAATGGTATCAGTGAGGATAATCAGCATTTGAAAAATAATATTCTTTTGGAGAAGTAGGGGGCAGAACCCTTACGTTAAGTGGACAATATATTTTCAGATATTCATTTAAAATATGAAAAATTATCTTAGAATCTAGTGAGGTGTACTCTAAGATTTGTTTGTTAGTTAAAAAATATCTTTTTACATCTGTTTCTTTCTGCCCTGTTTTTATTTACAATTTTAGAGATATGAAATATAGGACTTTGATATACCATGCATTTATAACTTTTATAACTGGCCTCTAATGCTTTTCTTTATCT